TCTATGCAATGCACTGGGGGAGCGACTCCAGGTAGTGGAGTTAATCTAAAACGGCACCATTCTTAGCTCTAAGCAGGATATGGAATTAACTTTTTTTTTGTTTGTTTGTTTTTTTTGGAGGGACTTTTTTCCATTCTTGGCTGGATTTATCATTTCATCTTTTTATTTTTAGAGGTTTTATTTTAGATTGGCTGTAAAGATTTTTTTTTTTTTAAATAACACTGAGGTTTTTTTTCCCATCAATGGAAAGATAAAATGCTGTTGTTTTACAAAACTTAGACTTAGAATTTATTAGAATTGTAGAAACTCTGACATTCATTTCTCCCTGAGCCACTCTGACAGTCTGCAGGTTTACATTCCAGCCAAGCATGGCCACTACTTCAGTCAGACAGCAGGAGTTTAACAGTAAAACAGTAGAAAACTGCCTTAACTACTTAATTTTCATATCATTAGTCGAACGAGAACCAATATGAAGCTTTAACAGTTTTCCAGAGGTTGTGATGATTCACAATTAATCGTTGAGTAAAGTTTCTCCATGTCCACATTGGATTGCAGCTGTGACTGCACACCTTGAGTTGTCACTAACTTTAAATTTACAAACCGCATTTTTAACTGTTTTGTTGCAAATATGAGCACCAAGAATTATTGGTCAGGACTGTATTTTTAGTATGCGTGGAGTTCACCATTGTTTATCCATAGATGAGCTTGATGGCTCTCCTCTTGATTGTAGTGTAATGCACTCGGACCATTTTCTGTCCCAGGAGAGACAGGAACACCCAGTCAAGATGGGAGGGAGGGGTTCCAGCTGTTCTACATCTGCATCACCTTCAGCTATTATGCTATGCCCCCTGTTTATACTTAGTCAGTCTTCTGTGTCTTTTTCTTCTTGTTGTCCTACTTCAGCTTCTTTCTTGTACTTTCCCAACCCCTCAGGCTTCTACCTCCCACTCAACAGTTGGGACTTTTACATAACTGGGGTGATGAATATTACATGGTGTGGGACATTAAAAATGGCTTCCCTGGATAAGGAGACTTCCACTGGTAGAGGGAACATGGAGGGAAATGAGTACAAAGAGAGAGGAGTAGGGCGCTTACATTGGACAGTGCTCATTTTACTCATTCAGACAGTATAGCACAGTCTATAAGGGGGCTGGCTCTCATTGTTTCTAATGAACAAGGTGCATGTACCTTAGGATTATATGAGGTTTTTGTGTTGGCCTACTCATGTTGGTCTTCTTAACTTGTTTCCAGGGTACTTGTCAGTGCCTCACAGGATGGAAAGCTAATCATCTGGGACAGCTACACGACAAATAAGGTGAGATTACTGATGATAAACAACAACATTAAATGTTGAAGTCAAACTAGGTGAGATTACTGATGATAAACAACAAAATGTATGATATGTACATCTGACCTACATTAAATGCTGAAGTCGAACCTTGTTTCCTGCCATCAGTGGTGTGCCGCTCCCATACCACATTTCAATGGCTCCAGTTTGACTTTTGAGAGGCATATTATAATTAGTTTGGCTGTATTTTGCAAAAAAATCAGTATCACTCAGCATTATGGTTAGGTATGTTCTGATTGATGTTATTACCCAAAAATAATGATACAATTCTCTGAAACCAAAAAGAGGTGGCCTATACCATCTGAACCTCAATACTTACTGTTTGGAGATGCTGCTCATGCCAAAATTTTGACATCCAGAGTAGAAAAAGAAACCACCTTCTGTCTCTGTTATCTAAATAAGTCTGTACCATTATGTAATTTTATTGCTGCATTGTTAACTGACGTATTTTGCAATAGTGTCACCCAGACAAATGAAGGAATGCATCCTGTAATTTCTTCAAGTACAGGAGATGTTAGATTTTTGTCAGCTGATCACATAAAAGTACATAACGATTTACTGACCTTAACCTTAGTGATATTTTCTTTATTGTATTAACAAAGAAAAGACACTGGCTCTGCTTGTACTCAGATGCATGCCATTCCACTGCGCTCGTCCTGGGTGATGACGTGCGCCTACGCCCCCTCTGGGAACTATGTGGCCTGTGGTGGCCTGGACAACATCTGCTCCATATACAGCCTGAAGACCCGCGAGGGCAACGTGCGTGTCACTAGAGAGCTACCTGGACACACAGGTAGGCATGGGGCTATCTGAAAAATGATACTAATAAAATGAGACTCAGCCTTAACCTTAACATTGTCTTTATTTGACTAATACTGTACTGGGATAACTTTGATGTTTTGTCAGCTTGTGTAGAGATTTCACTTTTCTTTTATACAATTTCACATGATCAGACTGCCTTGACTTTGTTGTACTGCACATCCTTGAAGGTCTCCCTCTTTTGGGCACCTGCTGGACAGACACGTTTATCTGTTTCGACGAATAGTTAAACAAATACAGGCTCAGCATAGACTGTACTTGGGTGGACATAACTACCAAAATGAGTGATTAGTATAGCAGTAAAAATTCAGTTGCTGCAGATCTCACTGTGGGTAGTCAGTTAAGTGCCTTGCCAAGGGCCAGAGCACAACTCTCCTTATCTGCTACTGAGCTTGTGTTTATCCTCAGGATATTTGTCCTGCTGTCGTTTCTTGGATGATAACCAGATACTGACCAGTTCCGGAGACACCACCTGGTGAGCAATGACTCTCTTAACCTCTTGCGTTAGTGATATTTCATTGATATTCTTGCTTGCATGTTACACACACACACAGCTGACAATGCTTCTCCAAATTGTAGGTGAATGTTAAGAGTATCTCTCCAGTGTCCATCCTCTTCACCAGCTTTATCTCGTATTGCTGCTCTGGAATTACCTTTTGTATGGACTTGACAAAAACACTTTGCTCTGTGCTCTTCTCTATGGTTCTGTTAAGTGAGATTAGATGCATATTGCAGATCAGCCATTGTCAGTCATAGTCCTATGGGGTCATACAATCTGAAAGTTTTGTTAGCATAGCAGCTAATACATCTTCATTGTGTTAATACTGTAATGTGGCAGGTGACATTTATTGTCTCTGGTGCTGTGCACTTCCCAGCTGAGCCTTCCTAATAACTCAGGGGACACCAACTGATTCCTAATCGCTGCTTCTCTCTTGCAGTGCACTGTGGGACATAGAGACAGGCCAGCAGGCCACCATCTTCACTGGCCACACAGGTGATGTGATGAGCTTGTCTCTAAGTCCAGACTACAAGACCTTTGTGTCAGGAGCCTGCGACGCCACCTCCAAGTTGTGGGACATCCGTGATGGCATGTGCAGGCAGTCCTTCACCGGCCACGTGTCCGACATAAACGCCGTCAGCGTGAGTGCTTGGACCTTTATTCACATATACACTACAAGATTGGCTTGGATGTGGAGCTACACCTAAATATCTTTTGATTGTCTTGTGCCTTTTAGAAGAGAGAGTTTCATTTTTCTTCCAGTTTTATGATGAGGTCTGTGATTTGGGGTCGTTTGACCTCTTCACTCTCACAGTATTTATGCTTCTTTGAGTGCCAGACTTCTAAGACGGTCATTACTCATCCTAACTGCTCAGTTTGTGTTTATTAATACAAACACCCTGCTGTGGCTTGAAAAATAATGGGGATCATTCCTCAGCAAAACTGTTTCATGAGAAAGTAAACTAAACCAAACCGGTTGTGGTGTGAATTCTGATAGTTTCTTTTAAGAGTAACACAATGAAACAAACAAAACTCAAGCAAAAATGTGGAGGATAATTAAAACATTAACATAAAAAAAACAGATTTCATACAATTATGTAATGATTTAGCATAATTTAAACTTTATTTTTCTGAGTTAGAATATGGTATCATGCAGGCAGTGTGGAGGTTGGAGGTTTTCATTGGACTGTAGCAATAGACTGGGAAAATCACATTACAAAGACTGAAGCTGTGTGAATATTAGCCTACTCATGTCAAAATGCACCATCTCAGGCCTTATTAGCTCTAGGTCAGCGGTGCCCACACTTTTTCGCCTTGCGAGCTCTAGGTGATCTGTAAGACTGGTAAAAACAAGAAGCCTCTGCCCAGGAACCCCACCCCTGCCTCAAACGCTATAAATTGGTTTAACATCACTTCCCATACTCCTCCTTTTCTCCTGCAGTTTTTCCCCAATGGTAATGCCTTTGGCACAGGCTCAGATGACGCAACCTGCAGGCTGTTTGACCTACGTGCTGACCAGGAGCTGATGATGTACAGCCATGACAACATCATCTGCGGCATCACTTCTGTGGCTTTCTCCAAGAGCGGCCGCCTGCTCCTGGCTGGTTACGATGACTTCAACTGCAACGTTTGGGACACTCTGAAAGGCGAGCGTGCAGGTAAGTAAGGTCTGAAGTCTGGGTATGGGTTTTCAAACTTTTAGATATGAGGTGACTTGTTGGTTTAAAGAAATGCCTTGTCACCGTCTTGACTGAGATTAATTGGTTAGTTCATTAGAAGCAGCTGGTAAAACATAGTGTTACTTCGGTAAACCTGTGATCACTTTTTTTTTTTTTTTGTTTTGTTTTGTTTTTTTTAACTGATGCCTTAGTGTAGCTTTTATCACTGTGAGCAAACTGAAATATTATGAATTCAGATAGCCTTTTTATGCTACATTTACACTTCAGCTTACAAGTGTTAAATGACAACAGCAGGAGCTACATGAGGTCAATTTACTACTGTCTACTATTTTCTGATTGAATTTTGATTAGGAACACATGGGTCAAGTGTGAAAGTGAACAGGACTTAGACTTTATTGTTTCAGCCCCAATTTGTTTTGACAGTATGAGCTCATAGCATCTTGAATTCCTGTTTTCCTTGATGGGTACCTATTTTCTCTCTGTTGTTATTGAGAGAAATGCACCTAAACTTGATTGTAAGATGAACAATAACTTGTTATAATTGTTTTAATTTATAAGGAATAGAAACGTGTTCTCCCCCCCCCCTTAATTATTGGTAACTGCTTATATTCATATCAAACTGGGCTCCAGCCAAAAATTACTTCTTTCATTATTCTGCCAGTTGTTTTCCCAATCATATTTATCTTCTGAAATTTTATAAACCAAAGAGAAATCATCATCATGGTCAAAGATGTTCAGATTAGCAGTTTTTGTTTCACTTGTGTGTTAATTATCACACTTGAGAAACTTTAGGGGAAATGTTGGCTTAAATAATTATTTTGCCAGTCATTTTTTCTGTTGATGACTAAGATATAAATAGACATATAACCCCCCCCATTGACCTCCAGGTGTCCTAGCGGGCCACGACAACAGAGTGAGCTGCTTAGGAGTGACAGAAGACGGCATGGCCGTGGCCACCGGGGACAGTTTCCTTCGGATCTGGAACTAAACAAACCCCTTCCCCGTTGTATTTGATCACTGCCCGCCGACGTTCCCTCCCCGCAGCCCCACCCTGCATATCCAAACTCATCTGCTGGGCTGGACTTGAAGGGTGCACACTGTGTCAGCCAAAATCCTCCCAAATCAACCCTGGTTCTCCTCTCTCCGCTGGCGACCTGCTCACCTGTGAGAAAGTACCGACTCTTTCTACCTGTCCAAGTGACTTTTTTTTTTTTACTCAGCTATTACACAGCAACACAAATAAGAACCTTTCAGTAGTTGTTCAATCAAAAAAAAAAAAAAATGTGTGAAAGACTGAAGGAAAAAAGTTTAAATTTTGCCCTTAACCAATTCTCATCTAGGGGGGTGATAAACAGCATCTGTTCCTGTGACTAACAACAAGCAAGCTGACCATGTGTAATATGTTACAGTATATATGTATAGCATTATGTGTGTATATATGCATCATATATGCATATATAATGTGTATGTAAATATTTTTGTATTTTATTTCCCACCTTTTGTGTTCTGGTTTTGTTCTTTTTTTTATATAATTTTGGGGGGTTTAACTCTATTTTCTAATGCACATATTCACAACATAATACCAGAAACATTTATTGTATCCTGTGTTGGTGTCGAACAATTTAGACACGGAAACGTATCATTATTTTACCTGAAAGTTCTCCTTTCATCTTCTAAACCTTCTGCTATTCCCTGACTTGGTCAGGCTCACTCATCTGGCAACAAAAAGAGGCAAACAAAACAGTTTTCAAATGTAAGAAGTTGCCCAGCTGAACTCGCTTTCCTCATTTGTATGTGTGTAGTGTGGTTACAGGCAGTGGGCACAACTCATGCATCCTGTACCTCTAAATGTTGTGTTTATGTGAATGATGGCTGTGATGATATTTTCACTCTAACAACACAAAGCCCTAGTATTCTTCACCACGGTGTTTTGATCTCAAAGCAGTGTTACACTGCTGTGGTTATGAGATGGATGTGATTAGAGCTTCAAAACCAACAAGCTTTGACTTCAAGGTTATAGTCTGGATTCAGCTTTAGCTCCAAAAGTGAGACCAGTGAATTTTAGGCTCAAATCAAAAACTTTATTTTACTGGAGGCTCTGCTTTGGCCTCTCTACTCAAGTGGATTCAAAGCATCGGATGCTGAATATCTGAAGACCACAACCACTCCATGCAAATCAGTTCAGTAATTTGCATCATTAGTCCCATTTTCTATGGCCTATAGAATCTACACTTTTCCTTGAAATGGAGACAAGCATGCCAAGTTGTACAAATAACGCTGATAGAGAAGGGTGGTGCAGAGAGAGACATGATCTCAAGTGGGAGAGTGGTCAGTTGACATGCGAGGATGATAAAGGACAATAATGACCGTCAGCGGCCTCTGAGGACTTTGCTTAAAAAAAAAAAAAGACAAATGAGTCCTCGTCAAGTAACTGCATGGAACTGAAATCATGTTGGCTATTACAAAATCAAACCAGTGCCAGCGCAAGTCTGTTTAAACAAAAAAAAGTTTAACCCTTTAAAGAAACTTTTAAAAGGTTAAATGCTTTCAATTCCTGATTTTTTTATTTCTCTCACCAAAAATGTTAAATATTGCTAGTGAAGAAAGTGGTAGACAGAAATGTACACATAGAGAGAAATGCACTCAGAAATCATAGTACAAACCACTGAGCATGTGGCTTATGTACCCTTAGAGGTGGCGTTTCTGATTTTAAGTATTTTCTCATCATGGTTCTTCAAAAGGTTTAATTTTTAAAAACTAACCCGTGTGGACCTATCCATCAGCTGTCTGAGGTGCCTATCTCTAAATATGAACAATTGACCCACATGGGCTGGATAAAGGAGGGTTTGAGCTCCTGTGAGATGTGGCACTGTTGTCTCCATTCTGCCTTACAGTATCATTCATAATAGAAGGCAACATCAACTACAGTAATGTTGTCCTCTTACTGTTCCTTGTTACACATCACAAAGAGTGCTTTTTCTCAAATTAACCAACAGAAGCACATTCTGAAACTAGTGAACACTAAAAGAGCATGCATACAGAAAACCACCACAACTACATACTTAAAGTAGGTTTCTTAGTTGACTTTTTATACAATTCTGCTTTCTCCTACTACCGTCCAGTTTGTGGTATTTAGGTTCGATCAGTTCGTTTTTAGCCTGAGACTTATGTTTGAGGTGTGTAGAGGGGTATGATTTGCTGATGTACGTGGATAACAGATTTGTGTTACTTCCGCATTTGTGCTAACATTATCCACAGACCCTGAGCTGTGAACTTAAAAAGTAATCATGACAACAAAAAAACAAAAAACAAACATACATTAGCTCACTTTACTGAAGTGCCAGCCTTCTCCATCTCCATTGTCAGTGTCTGATTTTATGCCGTGTTGTCTGATCAAACAGGTGCACAGCTGGCATCTGTAGGTGGTTCTTTTGTATCCCAGAGTGTTATTAAGTTGACAGTGTTTATTAAATCTAAGCTTCTGTTTCAATCAGTCAGATAAAGATGGCAAAATGATGGCCTGACAGTATGTATTTAAAGCAATATTAGTTTGTCTGTTTGGGAAATGTTCACTTTCTGGCGGTTGGATAGAACGAGTTAATTAGCTTTCAAGATACTTGCAGGCAGACATCGTTACCGTAAACACAGTAACCAAGGTCAGGCTAGCTGCTCACATCCTATTTCCAATTTTTGCACTAGTTACACATGAACCGGTGCACTAAACTAAGCTCACGCTAGCTGGCAGCTCTCTAGAAAGCTAGAAAGCAAATGAGCATTCCCCCCCCCCCAATGAGTCAAACTATTCTTCTAAACCTGCTGTGTTTTCACTTTCATATTTCATCATAAATTGTGATTTAAAAACAAAACAAAAAAAAATACACCACAGCCCTTAACAGCTGGCTGAAAAGGGGGATCATCTGTATTACTGACGATGATATTCAGCAGGCAGCCATGTCCTCCCTCTGTGTAATTCAGCAGTATTAGCAGCTGGCCCCTGAATAGTAAGATAGCACTTCTCCGTGCTTGTGCAGTTCACTCGTCTAAGTAGTGCAGTAGACTCAATCAAAAAGGTGCTTGAATTCTTTTAATTTTAAATTATTGTTGTATTTACCTGAGGTCTCTTCCAGTTTATTCCCCTTACTACATAACTGATATGGAACTGTTTGATTTTACAAAATGTCAAAACTTAATGCATTAAAGGTTTGAAATACCGGAATCTAAGTCTGTGACTTATTGTATGGGAGTAGTAACTTGAAGCATGTGCGTGGTGCCACTGGTCACCTTCAGGCTTCATAGAGCAGTGGTCAGTGCTGCTCAGGTTCAGGTAGTGTTTTTAAGACTGTGGCACTGACCTTCAAATTTATTATTTGAATATACAAAATAAAGTTTTTGATAAACCGTGAATATAGGACACCCCACCACTTGAATTGGTTGCATCACATAACTGCGGCACCAACACAAAATAACACACTGTCCTTTGACTCTACCTTTTTTGTTGTTTTGTTTGAAGCCAGTGGAGACCAGGGACTTGGTGCCATGATAATTCTCTTACAGTGCTATTGTGTGAAATTATAATCACTTATGGAACAATTTTTTTTATATACATATATTTTTTGGTATTTGTACAGTGGCTTGGTGATACTGATGTTGCCATGAGTTATTGTAACCAATAAAAGCTTTTACTTTTAACCAATAATGCAGATCCTGGCTGATGTCCTTGATGGAAAACAAGACTACACAAGGAGGTAATATATTACTCTCATACAAATATTTAAACAAGTGGTTATATTTTCTATTGTGTTACGGGAAACAAAAGAAGCTTCATTCACAACACAAGACCCATCTGAGGAGGACCAAAGACCAACATTTGGATTTAGTTTTTAATATCATTATACAGGCTGAACAAGTGTAAAAGGATTGTAGAAGTTGCTTTAGAAGTTTAAGGTGGACTCATGCTGCTAACGTAGCCTTAGCACCAATTATATCACCAGTGTGTTAAAAAAAAAAAAAAAAAAAGTTTAACAAGACTGTCCAGCTCTGGAAAAGTCTTAAATGCAAAAAGTCTGTTTTAGAGGTATTTTAACACGCATTGCAGAAAAAAACCCAAATTTTATAGTGCAGACTGATGTCAATACAAGTCTAGTGGGTAGACATAAAATGTGGAGATTTGTAAAAGTTTTCAAAATAGAACATGAACTTAGTATTTTATAAACATGCTTTCCCTTCCAAATAATTTCTCTTATATCTATATCATGTGCCCGGACAGACATATGAACAATTGTACACACAAAAACGTCATTTGCTCCACATACAGTGAATTAGTCCAAAAAGAAAAAAAAGGCATATTCACAGTTAGAAGCATGTTAGTGTCAAAATATAGCACCCGACTGGTACATAGCCTTCATGCCAACCGAGACTCAAGCACCTGCTTGTCGAGCATCTTTGCACACTGGAATACAGGTTTGTGTTGCAGGCAGTTTTGTTGTACAGTACGTTCACTGCTGTTTGTCCAGCACCAGGTTGGCTGAGGAGGAGGGGCCTCCATTCTCCTCTGTCCACAGAGTGAAACTACAGATTGCTTACTTTTTTGAGTAATCTCTCTGTTTTATTAGAAAAACAGTCTGCAAAATTTCAGAAATTAATGACAAATGTCCATTAAAAGTTACCAAAAACTTCAAATTGACCTTTAACAAAGAAGCAACAACAAAAAACAGAACCATACCAAGTGTTTGAGAAGCTATGAAGGTTTGGTATGCTTTCCTTATGAATGACAAAAATTTTTACTGATTATCAAAACATATGAATTTATGTTGACAAAGTAATGAATCAACTAATCTTCTCAGCACTATTGTCCATAGAGAAACCGTGGTGTAGTTCATGTGATGAAGAGCACCAGGAGCGGTGAGGTGACGCTGGGCTGACTGGCTCAACATGAACCAAATTATGAAGCAATGAAGAGGAGCAGCTTCACTGCTGACACTGCAGGTACTGGTTTGTGAATGCCTCCAACTGTTTCTCCATCGCTGTGGCTTTATGTCTGCAGAAAGAAACAGAAGTCAGTAAAACAAGTAAAGCTTCTTGGTTTGTAATGCAACTGTTAAACTGTTCATTTCACATTTCTGCAACTTTTACAACTATTTTATTTATGGCCTACAATTACCCCGACTGATTGACCTTTTGTCAAGTGTAAGTTGGGTGGAGTTAGTTGTCCATGATGTATCCTGACTCTTGCCTAATGTCAGCCAGGATTGATCAAGTCACCACATGACCCTCTACAGCAGGGGTGTCAAACTCAATCACACAGGGACCTTTCCATAAAAATATCTCCTGGCAAAATGATACAAACTATGAATATGAAAAATGTGAACATGCTGCAAAAAAACCTGAAAATATAAATAAAAAATTGTGCTTTTAGGTAAAAGTTAAAATAACAAATCAAAACATTCCATTTTCTTTGCTCTTATGCCATTTTGTCAGAGCTGGATGCTTGGCGTCTTTTCTTGGCAACAAGTTCGTTTATGTTTGGGGTAAGGTTCCATGTTGTGGAGATTCTCAGGATGGACTGTGCAGGTGTTCATCAGTGAGACAACTCCTGTGTGATGTTTTGTTAATCTTCATCACAGAGAATAGCTTCTCACACAGATGTGTGCTACCAAACATACACAAAGTTCGAGTCGCATGTAGATGGAGCTGGGGCTAGCTCTGACTTGAAATTAGGGTTGTATACATCAACAGACGCTTGATTGATCTGACGTAATTGACGTGGGAATGATCACAGGTAGCCTATCGTTCGGTAAGGTGGCTGTTGCGCTGCATTATGGGATTTGTAGTTTGTGCGTTATCGGTGCTTCATATCGCCGGGCCATTAAGAAAAGATATATAAAATGATCTTGTGGGCCGGATATAACTGTACACTGGGCCAGATGTGGCCTGCGGGCGTTTGACACATGCTCTACAGGATTAGTATAGATAACAGATGGATGGACAAGCTTACTTACTATAAGGCTGCACAGTCTATGGCAGGTCTGCTAAGTCTGACCGTTTCCAGGTCTTGAAATGTTTGATCATCATCACTCATATCATCTAGTGTATTCATTGTCCCCACACTAGGTTCTCCTAGATTCCCAGACACACTCTCTCCCACATCTTCTCCACCCTTCCCGCTGCCCCCAGTAAGCAAAGGAGCTGGACTGACCGCAGGGTCTTGGAGTGGTTCTGGATGGCCTCCAGCTGATCTATGTTGATTGTCAGTTGGCGGATTTCTGCCTCCAGCTCTTTCTGCGTCTGGTCCACCTGCTGACAGAGCTGGGCAAAGGTCGTAGCCATCTCCCTGGCAACACAGAGGACACCGCGTCACGCTGCTTGTTTATTTAGCCCTGCTACAGATGAGAAGGCTGGGCGGAGCACAGGCGAGGGTGTGGCAAGGCTTTGTGTGTGCGTAAATCAGGAACGTTATGGGGAGTCGGGCTTTGTCAGTGGGTTAAATATCACTGACAGAGATTGAGGAAGGGTGAAGAGAAATGAGCACTTGATGGCAGCAAAACACTAGCAGCATGAATGGCCTTGATGTTAAAGTATACCCATCAAATACCCTGGATGTTTTCAGATGAATCTCGGATTGTTACATTTTATACCTTGACAGTTTTAGTAAAAACAAAACGGACCAAGTTATGCAAGTGTTTCACAGCAGAGCTCACCCTCAGCAAAGACACAATGGAGAGAAAAACAAACTAGTGAAATCATAATGATGCACTAAATGAGCTTGGTACACAACATCAAATGACAGAGTAATACTTATTATTCTACTGACCTTGATGTAGTGATGAAAAATGGCTATAATCTGTGTACACATCTGTACAAACTAGCTGAAAGAACTGCCAGAAAAATCTTAAAAGATGAACCAGTTACCCTCTCACTAACTGTGACTCTGCCGTACTGTATATCAAGTACAAAACATTTCACGTTTTGCCCCATCCAGTCTGTTCTGCTGTAAGTGTAAAATGACAAACGGAGCCGTATCAGGACTTACTGCTGGACCTGGTGGCTGCAGTTGCTACTAGTAAAGCTGACGATGAGCTGCAGCTTCTCGGTTGCATAGTTCACAAACTGGTGCTTTAGAGCACGCTCCTTTGCCTTTGTGGTCCAGGTGAGTCTCTCGTACAGGTATAACAAGCCATACAGTGAGGCTGACAGGGCGATCAGCCTCCAACCAACTGTTTTCCATACCTTAGGAAACACAAAACAGACAAAATAGAAGGAAGATGGGTTAGGTTCAAACACTTCCATTAACAGATGGGTTTTGGTGCCAAGTATTTGTATACAATGACATAAAAAAAGGACCATTTAGTAACGCATTTCCTGATTTGTTACATTAAATGTATATAAAACATTGGTACAAAGTAATTTGTCCAACAAATAAGAAGTATCAGCTTCCCCCCCCCCACATATAGCTCATGAGTACATGCTATTTTAGACAACATACCACTCCTCCAACGACGATAAGACCCATTGAAGTGCGCGAGGTGAGGGAAGCGACATTGGTTGCCATGGCTACCATCAGGTCTTCCTGGGTCATGACGGCTGTCTCATGGTTGGGCTGAGATGTGGTGGACTGGGGTCCTGAGGAGGGTGTTCGGGCCTGAGGCAATGCTGGTTGAGATGCCTGAGTGGTGAGAAGCAGTTTTGCACTATAAGCTTTGTATGGTGTTTATGTGACGCAGGCCACGTCACATAACCAGTATGAATAATCTTTGACATTAAATGTCACGTTATGAATTAAAGATGGTTGAACCTTGAAGTTCAGGTCCACCAGTGTGAGTGCTCTCTGTGCGTTGACGGATCCCAGGAAGCGGTGGACTAATGCTGTCCAGCCCAACGAAAACTTAAAGTCAATGTTCTCCTGGAAGTCGCTGCAGAGTGTGGCACAGTTTAGGTCGTAACTCAGGTCAAACTTCCTGCTGGGCACCAACATGTGCACTTGGTTCTGGACCGCAGAGGGAAGCAGAGGGAGCATGCTATCTGGGGAGTGATCAAACATGGCAGGTGAAAATTGAAACAGAAATCCACAGAAATCAACAGCCGTCTTTCCTAGTTTATATTTTAAACAAGCACTGATGCAAAAGGGCACAGGGACTATTCTTCAAAATGAGTACTTTATTCTAGGCAGGCACATTTTACAGCTAATACTTCCTTCTGAAAGTAATAACACAAAGTGACAGAAACAATCATACCACATTTGCAAAACAATAGCTGAAGTCTTTGGATTCGAGGGCACATTAACACCTTTTCAACATCTCTGCCACGTGCCTGACACAGTGACGCCTTTGTGGCATAATGGACCATGGGATGATGGTATTCAGTGAGCAGGGTAAATATAGCAATGTGCTGGTTGTTACAGATCATAGCTGAGTGCCCAAAAGGTTTTGACTAAGTTTAGCTACACTCACTGAATGGGAGACTGAGTGGATAAACAATGGTGGACTGGAAAATCTAGGCTGAGGTCATTTTCTATGAAAACATGATTTATTCCTTGACCATCTTGTACACAATCATCATCGACATTCTTCAATTTTTTTTAAAGTTCTGTTCTGTTAAGAAGAATTAAAAATATTTAAGTAACCAGGTTACAAGTAGGTGAAGGTTACATTTCCTCACTAAGGCTGTTTATTAAGTTCAAAGTGGATTTTATACTGAACTGTACATTCACATTCTACCTGCCGCAAATAACTGCATATTTTCCTAATAATTGTTTTTAGGTAATTTCTTTCAGCCATCCATCTGGGACAGCAAAGCTGTTTGACCCAGAGTAGCTGAGCTGCGCTGATCTTTGTTCTCTGCAAGCTTTGACACAACTGAGACACTGACAGTGCAGCGCTGTACTCCTGAGGCAAACTATTTTGTACACATTCTCTATTACCTATCATGTATCTCTGAGAAGACTGAATAGAAGCATTGATGGCGTCTGAGCAGTGGAAGGCCAGATTCTTGCCCATCCCTTCCTCCACATGAGCCAGCAGCTCCTGCCAACAGCAACATGGGTCAGAGGGCACATGGAAGACAAGCAGACACAAAATAGAGACAGATCAGAGTACATGTTGCTCTGACCTCTCGTTTAAAAGCAGTAAACTAGCATAGTTGACTGGTAAAGCCATGCCAGAACCTATGTCAACATTGATAGATTAAAAACACAGTTTACTAACAAAAATGCGTTACGGTGCATTAACTGTAGCCAGAATTCAAAAGCGAACAGCAATCACACCCTTGAAACTCAGTCTGAACGTGGCCTTACACAGGTTTAGGGAAATTTGTTTTATTTTGCAAAAAGAAATTTGTGCCTCCACTTACGGACTTGTAGCACTTGAGGACGTGAGGTGAGGGGTGGAAGTCAGCATGGAACTCATCAACGATAATATGGAGACGACAGATCTCCTCCTCCATTGCGCTGGATACCTGGATGACACACAGCCAAAGTTGCCAGTCAGCTACCAACCACCAGCACTGAGCAGCCAAGCCTTGTGTCCTACTCAAAGAGCCTCCAGCAGCAGAAGATAAGGTCCAAAGCTGTATACTTGGCTCTTCTCATGGAAAATACACCAGTAAGACCAAATTAAATTCTATGTAGCTGCTTTCCCATGGGTAGTCGTGACTGTACATTTTATGTGTTTTTCACTATGCAGGACTTTCTGCCATGACTTATTACATCAGAGGTGCATCACCTTGCCTGCAATGAAGACCAGCTCAACTAACGTCAGAAGAAATTCTTAGACTTTTATCAAAAGTAACCCGAGTCAACTGATCACAAGGCAAAACAGAAGGTCCACTCAACAGCATGTGTACATTTGATCAGAGTAAAAGAAGAGCACAAAGCCACAGCTTTGGCTGTCTACAGCTAAAATCCATAATGCGCACTGCACAGCTAGAAAACAGGGACTGGCTGTGTGTATCTGGAGACACAAGCTGAAACGCGGTGGTGAAATCTTGTTCATCAAGTGATCAGGCGAAAGGGACACCAGCTGTTGTCTGCTTACCTTGGACTCCACGTCCTCACTGATGGCTTTGATCTTGTTCTTGATGTCCTCAATCAGTAAGTTGAGCTGCTTCTTGACAAACTCCAGTCGGTCCATCTGATACTCTCTGTCCTCTTGTGCCGCCACTCTGAAGCCCCGCCCCACCAAACAGGAAATGAATACTTATGACCATGTGATATTTCAGTTTTTCTTTTTTAATAAATCAGCAAAAATGTCAAAAATTCTGTGTTTTTCTGTCAATATGGGGTGCTGTGTGTACATTAATGAGGAAAAAAATGAACTTAAATGATTTTAGCATATGGCTGCAATATAACAAAGAGTGAAAAATTTAAGGGGGTCTGAATACTTTCCATACCCACTGTACATGCCTTTTATGAGAATTGACAAAAAGACAAAATCAGTAAAATCCGATTCTGAGAGCAAATTCTCTACCAACCCACTCCCACTAAAACCATAATGAATGGAGCAGGATACCCACCTCTTCTCTGCCGCCTCGATGTTGATGTCGTCCATGATGCTCTTGACTTTTTCTGTGATCTGCTTGGCCCTGATAGTGTGCTGCTCAAACTTTGTTTTCACTGCTGACTGCGAGATACACTCCTGCGAGGCCATAACACACAAGTTACTGTGACAGTCAAAGGGGCTGTGGCTGGATAGGGTGCACGAAGCCACACACTACCAGGGACAAATGGTGGACAAGACAGACACCTGCTACTTTGAACTTAAGACAGGAAAAGAAATGGAAACGCAGGTGTGAAAATGACAGCAGCAGTGTGTGTATCTTGTGTCCAACAGCCCACATTTTGTTGTCACAGTAATGTGTTGGTGAAGCCACAGCAAAATCATAAAAACATAAGTGAACACAACCAAGAATGCAAGTGAAAGAAAAATATTTCATGTTTTTGGATGACTTATATCATCTCCTGTTCAAGGCATCGTTTTTCTTATAAGCCCATGTATTTAAACAGTGCTGTGATAATTTATTAGAATTAGAATTTAATTCATATTGTTTTTTTGTAGGGCCAAAAATTGTAAACCAAGAACTCCTATGTTATCATTTCACTATCACGCACTTCTCAACCGCTCATGATCCATAATATCTGTTGTCATTGCGTTCATTCATATTCTACTCCTTAATCCTCCATATGTCATTCAAGACAGACAGATGTCTAAAGCACTTGGTCAATTAGGTCTTAGGTCAAAATGTTCTACAGTATGTATGGACAAAAACAAAACATCTCAACAAAGTGCAACAAAACAGAAACACAAAGAAAACTCAATCAAAATTGTTAAGACAGAACAAAATCCAAGGTGAATGAAAACAAAGCGATGCCCTCGCCTCAGTGAATCTAGACTTCAGCAATGAAGACGCAGGTTGATGGAAAAGGCACAGCGACTGGTTGGGAGGGTGCCAGTTTGGAACTGTCTGGTTGGTGGCGAAACCTAACCAGTAATAAGGTTTGAGTAGCCGATGTTCAGGTCCACTGTTGGTGTCAGGAGAGGAACTTTGGTTGCCGCTACAATAACCTTAAACAAACGCTTTGGCAAACATGCGCACACGCGCACACACGCACCATCACCAGACAACTGAATGACTCAGTTTCTCACATTCCTGAGGAGTTTTTGTAACCAAAACAAGCTCTGGTTCACAGTCTGATAAAACAGCTACTGTTTGTATCTCATGGTCTGGAAGAGAAAAAACAACTCACACTATCGATTCTCCTGTAACAATGCTTTGAGAAGTGGGAATAAAATTTTTGAAAGTCAAGGACAGCACACTGATAAGTGGCCTCGCACACACACACACACACACACACACACACACATACCTCAAACCTCCTCTCAAAGCTCTTAAACTCCTGTAGTCTCTCCTGGAAGCCCTCAGCCAGAGCGCCACCTGTTGGATGACATTTTCATATTACATAAAGCCACTTAATCGGCAACTATTTAGACTTTAGCCTACATTTTTTTGTTTTCATTAGTTTTGGTTCATTATTAGCAAATCCTGGTTGTCAATATTATTAAACAAAGATATGAACACTGTTTCCTAACAATAAAAACTCTAATCCGCTGCCGCACCTGTTTCAGGCATGCCTTGTGCACGCTGCATGCGTGAGTTCAGCACCTCTTTGGCAGAGATGAAGAAGATATGATTGGGGGCCTGCTCACGGTCCACAACCTTCAGCTCCTCAACCAGGAAGTTGATACAACGGTCTGTGTGCTGCTTCTTCACCTGAAAGGAGAGGTGTCTTATTCTCCAGTTTCACAACGTCTTGTAATTTTAAGTTTAGAACATCATATTGCAAATGCAATAAAGTTGAAAATAAGTGTATAAAGATAATACTTTAATTGAAAACTGTGATTTAATCTGTTCAGTTAAATCAAAATCATGTATAATTTCTGCAGAAATCGGTCAAAATGTGACATATTCTGTAACAGGGAAAACAGTTGCGGAGGACTGACTCACATGCTCCATGTACTCTGGTTCGTTTGCAGAGGCGTCCCAGCGGTTGTTGAGGATGAAGATGTTCGGCTTTGACAGACGTTCATTCACTTTGTGGAAAAAATGCTTTTCCTAGAGAGAGGAGGAGTGAAATGAGGAGAAAAGATAGCAGCAATGTAAGCATTACAATAAAAATGAAAGCACTCCTAATTTATTGTTGACCCAGCCAGGATTCAGACTCACACATAACATGCTTTTTGCTATTTGAATCTCCTAAGTGATTAACTTAATGCCTAGGTGTACTGAATAGCCCAGAGAGAAATGGGCGTCTGCTTTCCCTTTCAAAGAGCCGCTGCTGGGTTAAGGAGCGACTGCGTGTCCAGTTTCACATTGCACACATGCCTGAGCAGAAACAAACAAAAGTGTCACTGGACACAAACACAAGCAGCCACATTCTCCACCCTGTAACTGACTCATTGTAACAAACATCCACTTTAAGGCCTCCTTTAGTACACTTACTGTAAATGATGGTTTAAAATTAGTCATTACAAATTAAGTGGTCAAATGACTGTGCCATCATCAACTTGAGTGGACATTTTTAAAGGAATATTCAGTGCTAATGAGATACAGAAAGAGAAACTGCAATATGTAATCACTTTATTATTATATAAGATATCCATTCACTTATAGAACATAACATCACCAAGAAGGCACAGCAGAGGATGTACTTCCTGCACCAGCTCAAGAAGCTCAACCTGTCCCAGGAGCTCCTGATACATTTCTACAGAGGAATCATGGAGTCGTTTCTCAGCTGTTCCATCACTGTCTGGTTTGGCTCAGCAACCAAACAGGACAGGAACACACCCCAGTGGACAGTCAGGACTGCAGAAAAGATCATCTGTGCCAGCCTGCCCTCCATGGAGGACCTGTACACCTCACAAGTCAAAAGGAGGGCGGAGAAGATTTCTGCAGACTCCTCACACCCTGGACACAAACTGTTTGAACCCCTCTGAAAACTGTACACCAAAACAACCAGACACAAGGACAGTTTCTCAGTGCTCAGAGTACCTCAGGAGACTTTTACAGGTGTCACCATATTAACTAAAGGACCCATCCCACCCGCAGACTGATGCAGGTAGAGCAGCAAAAGAGCAGAAGGGGGTGGGGCTGTAACAATTTAAGTCATTTTTCCTCTCCTTTTCCCCTAAATGCACACTTTTTCTTGTTCTCTCACTGCCTTCTGGAAGAGCAACGTACATACACACCGAGAGCCACTGTACCACAGTCAAATTCCTCCTGTTCATACCGGGACAATACAGCTGATTCTGATAAAGTGGGAAATATACTTAAAATCATCTTGTCTTCCAGTTTTTCTTCTTATTTCCCTCTAAAATAGAAGAGCAATAAGTTATTTGGATAAACTACCCCTAACAAAACTACACTGATGCTTTTACCACTGTAGTCACACAAAGTAAAGACACTAATCTTGAACAGACAACAATGACTAAACAGACCAGAGAAGTGTGACAATGAGAAAGCTCACAGCTAAAAGGCAAAACACCTTGATCAACCATCAGGTGAGTGATGCAAAGTTGTTTCACAGGCACTTGTGATTTTAAACGTCTAGATCAATCTCTCAATCTCCCTATCATTACTCAATCTGACTGATGTAACAATAGAAACAATCTATATAAAACAGAAAATGTATTCCACAGGACACCAGCCAGATATAAGCATCACGAGACTGAGAGACTTTACCGTGTTCATGAGTGTGGATTCAGAATTGGCCACCAGCACAAAGACGTCAGCATCCAGGCAAAACTTGTCAATCCAGCTGTCCAGTTGTGTTGTAACATCTGTCCCTGGGCTAGGGAGAGGAAGAAAGGTCAAGCGGTCTAATGCACAATATCTTCTAAAAATGTATGCAACATCCATTTCTGCCTGATTTTTGTTCTGCACGTTACTGGACTTAGCTGTGTTACTCTGACTTGTTAAAGATGTGGAAATTGTCAAACTGATATTTCCTAACTTGCCCAGAAAATATCCAGATCTGATGAACATATCTTGCTACCTGTCTACAAGTACGAGGTCGTCTCGAAGCAGAGCGCACTTGGTCTTTGGCCAAAACACACGGACGAGACAGCCAGAGTCCAGACTCTCATCCATGTGGAGTGCATGAGCCAGCTGGTTTACAGTCTGCAGGAGGATTGGAAACACACTGACGTCATGGATGCTAATGTAATGACTGTAATGTAAAAGCATTTTGCAGTTATTAGTGTTATATTACTGTTCAAGTAATACATGACTGTGTGTGGTTGAACCCAAAGAGAAAATTCAAGCACAAGGCTTTCTTTATTCACTTTTTTCTAAGGAGAAACATTTCTCCTTAGAGAATAATAATTCACTTCTCTGGAAAATCCATATTAAATTCTGACACTCAAGACAACGCCATGTACAAGCACTAGACTGAATATAAGAGAACATTTAAAAAAAAACAGGAAAAAATGAATTAAACTACACATTCTATTGAACCCTTGTTACCTTTATTTACTTCAGTAAGTTACAGTGAAGAGGGGGTGAAGTCTCCCACACTAGGCTCTTATTTCTGACACCTGACACTACAGTAAACATCCTGCTGTCCTGTCACAGTTCATACAAGGCAGTGGGTGTGGAAAATTAACAAACAAGCCAACAGCCAAATGCAAACATCATTCAACATTATTCTTTTTGATGCCAACATTATAGCTGGCAGGTAAAAACCAATATGTTGTCATCCAGTGCAGCTCGATCTTTTTAAATGACAGTTTATATCCTTCCTGTTGCATCATTACATTATAAACTGTAAAAGTCATTTTATGAAAGTGGATTTGAAATAAACTTGCTTATTAAACTTTAACAAAACTTGTTGAAGAATCAGGACTACAACATAACCTGACGCTGTTATCAATCTGAGGTATAAACCTAATCAGGCTGATCCTCCAACACTCAAATAACTGTAAAAGAAAAATCTTTAAGCTCATCAACAATACTTCTGTCATTCTGACTGCAATTAAAGTCAAAGGCTAAGAAGTTCACTGGGGTTAACACCAGTCAATAATGTGAGGAAGCTCAACGTAATGGCCACTATACGGTATCAATGTAATTAGGTGACAAGTGGCTAAAGACTACAGATGGTCTGATGAGTGAACATGACAGTATTCCAGTGTGTTGGCGTTGAATCTCATCTTCAGCCTCCTTCACAGAGGCATCCAGCAGTTCTCAAAAGTTTCCCCACAACAGCTCTGAGGTACTATATCAATAATATATGAACGGGATATAGACCACTGCTCATATAAGAGCAACAGTGCTAACCAAAACAAAAAGGGGATTAAAGCAACATTTACCTTGATGCTCTTCTCTTCATCAGAGCCCTCAGTCTTAAGGTAGGCCCTGTCATCATCTGTGCCCTCCACACTCAGGAAGCAGTTAGTGGTGTGGCCAATACCGCTGGGCAGCACACGGTCCCTCAGCATAGCGTTGATCACTGTGCTTTTACCATTACTGGTCCTAACAACAAACAAAACTGTCAGTTTTTCTCTGACACATCCTCCTCTTGCGTTTGTACCAGTATATCGCATGACACAGTTCACTTAAAAAGTTTAACTCAATTATGCAGAATAGGTTATATAACAAATGAATGAGGGAACAGCACAATATCACTTCAAGGACACTGCTCACAATTAAAAGACAATAAAAGCGAAAGCAAAACAGCCACAGAAAAAATATGAAGAGAGACTAGATTAACCACTGTTGCACTGACAATAAAGACTGTCTGAGAATCACAGCAGATCAGTATTAAAGACAATATTCTTTACAAAAAAAAAGTAAAACTCAGGTACATGTATACAGACGTACTTACCTGCCAAAAAAAGCCACTTTCATGTGTCTGCGTGCCAGCACCTCCTTAATGACAGCAAGTTTGTCTGCATATGCCTGAATCTCCAACTTTTGATCCTGACTTGCAATGTTCTCCAGAGCTTTATTCCCACAGATGTCTGTCAACACACACAGTCATACCACATTAGAGAAACACAGCACACCCTTTACCAGCCCTTTAGACTGTGAGAGCTATCTGATAGATGACAATTACTTTTTATAACATCAAATGATTTTGCAGCTACTATCTTAATGGATGTTCCAGTCTGATTAACGATATCTACTAGTAGTAAGTGACAAATGGTCAAGAGATAAATACATTTTCTCACCTTCTACAAATGCTGAAGTCTCTTTCACATAACTCAGTAGCTGCTCAAACACATCACTTATCTTCTTCTTGGCTACAACAAAGTGCTTCAGAGGGGAAAACTCCCCCCGAGCTGAATCTGTACGTCGGAGTTGAGGAACTGCAGCCATGGTGTTCAATCTGGAGGAAGACAGGGGTCAAGAAAGACAGGGGTCAAGAAAGACAAACACGTGAGTGGACATGAGCAGATTACTGTAGCTGTCATTATGGTCATAAAACCAAACTGTTTAGATGAGGCTGTATGGCTGATGTTTAGCACCGACTGTTGTACAACCTTTTAGGTTACTGTTACACTGCAGGAGAGCTCACTCGTGTTTTAAAATGTTAGCTAAGTGCTCTGTTAGTGAAGACATAAGTTAGCAGTAACACGTAAGAATAACACACAATGTCTGACTTATATAAATAACGAAAGAAACATGCGTATATACATTTTCAGCCATGACAAATCCAAATTCTTACGTTAAAGAAGCTGACGCGTGTCACTACCAAGTAAGCTAAGCTAGTTAACCTTACGAGCGGTAACGGTAGAAAGTTAGCATTAGCAAAACATGGACTAGGGTTTTTTTTTGTTTTTTGTTTTTTTACCACAGTCCTAAGACAGCCAGTGTCCGCTTCTCATAACACAGACAACACCGATCCACGGCGACAAAACGCTGAATTCCTATAAAACACTTTCTGTCAGCCTGGCTAACCTCCGTATTCCATAAAGGCACCACTGTCAATGTGGGTACAAACAGTCAGCTTCCGGGACAGATTTCAAAACAAAAGTTCCTTTGACATTGCGCCACAAGGACAGTAGCACAAGCATAGGAATGCGCTAGGATAAGATTTGCATTAGGTTCTTAGTGACTTTCCATGTGCTTTAAATATCTCTGGCCATTATCTTTATAACTCAAGGGATTTGCCCTTGCTTATGGTTTTGATTTAACAGAGCATCTATTATTTTTAAACGTTGGCATGTGGTCTAGTCACATTTCATGGGCTGGGTCCTCTAATTGTTTAGAAAAAAGCTGAATATGGTTAGGATTACCTTGATTCTAAATAAAATATAAAACAGCACAACAGAATAAAGAATATCTTACAGATTATATGTAGGCCTATAGTATGTTTATTACAGGCCTTTATATTTATAATTAGTTTCAGTATATATTGCACAATCACTGGGTTATATTTGACCTAGTGTTGGGTTAATTTAGCACCTACATAATAATGGGTTAATGAGACAAAGAGTTGTTTCAGTCCAGTGACCAAGTGGTAGGGTAGAAGTAACAGTGAGCCACAATAACCCACTAGTTCTAGGTACAGCTATATTGATATACTGACGCCTCTCTCCATAAACAATAAGTTTGGAAGAATGGGAAAAACATCAAAACCCAGACAAACATAAAAAATGCAACTGTTCCCAGCAGCATAGTAAATAAATACCATAAAAATGTTGTATAGATAAAAAAAAGTGGGGGTGTATGTGCTCCTTTTTATAATTCACATACCCAATATCCTCTCTCTACCATACCACTGCTAACATGTCATATAGTTTTAGTGTTGGCCATTAGATTATTTTTGAGCATTGCTTTTAGACTTTTAAGGTTTGCTATACAGTTTGTTGATCAGTTTCATGAATTCACACCAATTATTTGTAATCCTGACCCTTACATTTCTTTTTATTTTGTGTTGCTCTGTTCAGGTTTACTACGTTTACCTTGATACAGTGTGCTATTGTTACAGGAGAGGGGGCGGAGACAAGGAAAAGGTTGGGAGACAGCAGCCAATCAGTGAGCAAGCAATGCCATCACCATTGTCACATGTCCAGCTCATGACACCAAGGTTAAGACTATAACCTATTATACACTAGACACCAAGTCCTACTAAAGTCAGTACTTTGTATCCCTACTTTGACATTTGTACCCAGTTCTTGTAATTCTTGATTTAGGATCTATTCTTTGCAGGATAGTTCAAGTCCTAGGTTATTCTGTGCAAGAAACACACAACTGTCTTACACACACACAGAGCATAATTAAAATCTACTCAGACTTTTAGTGATGTTCAGGTCAGGGGGCTGTGAGGGCTGTTCCTAAGGTTTCAGCTTCTGTAGTAGTTTATGTTGGATTCTGAGGTCTACTCTGGATTCTTGTCCTGTTGTAGAAGTCAACCTCCTTTCACTTTCCTGACTGCATAACAGTTGCATCCAAATTTTGCTGACATTCTTAACTATCCATGTGAGATCTTTGGACTGCCTCTCTGAAGGGGGAATAACTGACTACTCACTTAGCACAAGCGTTTGGTAGTGACACAATTACTCATTTACAATTACTCATTACAATTGCTCAGAGAGAAGCTGTGTATACCCTGGACCTTCAGAAATATGCAACATACATTAGACAGTATGTTTTTTTTCTGTAGACCTGTGCAACCCTCATGAACAATTGCATTCAAATTGTGACCGGGCCAATATACAGGCCGAGGCAACTCAGACCGTAGTAACCTTTAGTAGTTCCCCAAGAATAACACCCCTCCTGTTTTCAGAGGTCAAATTCATGCAAACTTCCCCAGTACTGAGCTGCTACAGTCAACAGGTTAAAAGGCACCATTAAATAAACACCACAAATCAATTAATCACACATCAACCAAATATAAGAGGGCCTTGCCTCCCTGTGCATAAAACCATTCACACCATAAAATTGACTAAACCCTATTTGGAAACAATACAATAAATAGGGAACATAATGCTAGGAAAAACCTCTTAACATAAAAGCAGAACAAAGCAAGGCAAAATGTTGCATAAGCAAAACATTACATAGGCAAAACACTACATAAGCAAAACAGCAGTGGCTATCACCCCTTGGCTGCACGTCCCCCTAGCACAACATGTGCTATGGACGCCAACTTCTACTGGATCACGCTCGCATCAATTATCGCTCCTGGAGAGCATGGCAATCTCCTAAAAACAGTCTTAAAGGAGAAGCAGGACACAGCTCGATGGAGGGAGATTCACTTCAGACCGGTTATGGCAGTGACCAGCACAACATTGCTTATCGCCACAGCATCTCCCCAGGTGTTATTTATATCTATGATTATTCTGACAAATTACTAACCAGGCGGTGTAGGCGTGGGAAGAACCTATACATTACGTATGCCAACATGCATATGCGCTGCTCTGCAAAAACAAACCAGAGAACATTTAAATAAAACAAATCTTGTATGTTTTGCCTTTGCCTGAATGAGACAATGCCAGAGAGGAAACACCTCTCTCTGTGCTTATGTATGTGACCAACTGTGGCAAACTGGCACCAGTCAGAGCAGGTGGCAGTGAAACACCTCCAGGTCCAGCTTGTGGTTTAGCTTTAGGAAATTTGAAAACCTCTTGTCACCTCAAAAATTTGGAATCGATCTTGTTCTCTTTCTCTTTTCTTGCTGGATTTTCTGTGGCTATGTGTGGATTTATGATGGACAGTTAAAATGTTGAAGAAGAAAAAGCTGATGGTGTTTGAGTAAGTAATACTCCTTTATGCACTTTCTTGTTGCTGACTGCTGAATCCTCTGAATAATTCAATTCTTCTTAGAACCTCATTAAATCACTATAGTAATGCTATGATATTACAACAAAAGACTAAAATGTATTGTACATTATTTTTTAGATTTCATAGAAACAACAAAACAATGATTTGGAGAATTACTCAAATCTAAACATATGATAAAAAGTATTGTACTATTTTTCTCTAGTTCAACTCTATGTTTTTCTGTTACGTGTGACAGCATGGCCGCTGCATCATACATTAATAATGAAATGGAAACAGTAATTGTTCTCCTGGGCGGATACAGATTTCATCCCCTCTAACTGTGGATTGAACAGAAAATCCCAAAATTGTGATCACAGTCAGAAAATGTGGAAGTCGTGTAAATTCACATTTTTATGTGTGAAATGACCTGGGCTTAAACTAGTTTTTCTGTCAGCTTCCTCATTGTGCTGGTGCTATTGTGGTACCATTGGTGACACACAAGCTTGTGTATTGTCTGTGTGTATGTGTATGGGTGACCTTTACACTGTGTACCATCCCATCCAGCATTCTCTTTCTCTGGGAATTTAGTTATTTTGCCTTTTTACTCTTGTCTTACCAGAAAATGTAGTAAGAAATTTTGACTTTTTTTGTCCAATTGACATTCAGTGACCTGTCAGTGGCTTTAAAGTGGTGTTTCCTCTCTCTCTCTCTCTCTTTAGAATGTGTGGAAGCATGATGTGGGATGGATAAACAACAACAAAACTCTAACGTAAGATGAATTACAGGCTGTTAATATGGAATGTAATTTAGCAGTTTATGTTTTTATAATGGTTGAATACTGGAGTATGAATGGGCAGTTGACCTGTGTGTGTGTGTCTCTCAAAAAACAATAAATGTGTGGAGCATCATATACAACTGTCTGTCACATTCTGTGTAGATGGCCTCTAATGACCCTGACCTTCCTGAGCCCTCTGGTGACCCCCAGCCTGGTGACCTCATTGAGATCTTCAGACCAGCTTATCAGCACTGGGCTCTCTACCTGGGAGATGGTTACATCATCAACTTAACTCCTGTTGGTCAGTGGGAGTATTTTTAACTTAAGTGTGATAGTTAGGGTTAAATATGAGTGATTTGAGGTGCTCATGCCATCACTGGGAGATTTTCTCCAGGATGATTTTTCTTTCAGCCTCTTAAAATCAGTTCATTTCGACTTTGTGATGGAACTGTGCTTTGTTTGTATGTGTGTTGTGTGTAATGGACCACAGTTTCAACTGACCTCAGTATACTTTTCTTTAAATACTTAAGCATCTCCAAGTCATACTCTAAAGGTCATACTGACTGTAACTCTGCTCCATTTTTGATGAAGACTGGAGACACGGTACATCACATCAATTTTCTCATCTGTATGAGTCATGGGAAATTATAAACATAGTTGTGTCACTTCTTTGTAGTTTATTTGACATTTGATAAGTGGGAACAGTTAATCTTGTCCATGTGGCCAGGATCCAAAATGAACTGGGATCTCGTTGGTGGTTTCCCACTCTAGATGTCTTACTTTAGTTTCCTAAACCTACATAATGCCAGATCCAGGATCTGATCATGTTCATCTTCGGTTTAATGGATTAGAAGAGATCATGGTTTGGATGGTGCTGCCCCCCCCCCTCCCGTTTATCCTCCCCCAGTCCTGCCATATATATATATACATACATACACACACACACACACACCCTGTTTTCCGCTCATTCTCCACTGGCCATTACGTACATGTCCAGAGGATACTGCACGCTCTGATGCCCATCGGCACGTTTCCCCGTTCCCTTTCTCTACTTACCTGACCTCCTGCCGGCTCTCCTGCCCATCCTCTGGTTTCTGTCCCCCCACCTGCTGTCTCACCTGCCTGTCCTGGTCCTTGGGTTCTCCTGGCACCTGCTGTCTCACCTGCCCATGCTGGTCCTCCTGGTTCCTCGTCCTGGCGCTCCTGATTCTGCGCCCCAGCCCCCCGGTTCCTTACCCTACCTGCCCTCTGTTGCTCGCTACACTTCCTGCCAGCTCCGAGCCTGCCTGACTTCTTGCCACCCAACATAATCTGTTACTTATCTAATAAACTTCCTTTTTTAGTTACTGGTTCTCTGGTTTCTGTGTCGGCATCTGGGGTCCACACCGCACCACACCACTGACGTAACAAGACCTTCATTAAACCTTACCGTTTTACACTCAGTACTAGAATGTGTTAATCCTAGTCCATTAAAGCTTGGGGTCCACACCGCACCACACCACTGACGTAACAAGACCTTCATTAAACCTTAGCGTTTTACAGAAAGCAGTGGTGCGCATGCAGCTGCTGAAGGAGGTGGTGGGAAGCGACTCGTACCGTGTCAACAACAAGTACGACCACAGTCACACACCCCTGCCCATCTATGAAATCATTCAACGAGCACAAGTCCTCATTGACCAGGAGGTGTCTTATGACCTGCTGGGGAGCAACTGCGAACACTTTGTTACCCTTCTGCGTTATGGAGAGGGGGTGTCTGAGCAGGTCTCTCACTGTTTTTGTGTCTTATGTGTAATAAGTTTGGCTGGTTGGGTGTATGCAAGGTTTAGAGTGGTTAAAGTTATGGCTACAGTTTTGGTAGACATTAAAGAGTTGTTCCACCCAAAATTTTGCCACTCACCACTCATAACTTTGACATGTGGTGGTTTTTCAAGAATCCATCCATCCTTCCTTCCTTGTGATAATCATGAGTCCACCTCCTCTACTCTATTTTCTCCACAGGCTACACGAGCCATTGGGGCCATCAGTTTGGTGACCGCAGCCGCCAGTGCCTTCTCCATGCTGGGACTGATAAATGCACGATCCAGAAACAGGCCTTTCTAGCACTGGATGGTGTTGTATCCTAACATTCATATGGCTGTGATAACATAATATAATAACATAATAAAGTATTAATAAAACTCTTACTTGTTATTGAGTATTTATTGAAGGGTACTTCGTGATTCAATAATACCTTGCTAAAAGTGATATTAATAGCTATTGTATTTGGTTTAGCCTGGTTTTTGTTAGTCTTTGTCACAGTGTGAGATTGTTGATGGTTATGCCACTCAAATTACAAAACGTACATTTTCACTTTGTTTTGATTTTATTTGCCCATGTTTTGAGACATCAGTCATTTCTGCTGCCAGAGCAAGATAAAGGGGATGAATATTTGTTTTACTTGACAGTTTTATTAGTGTTTCCCCTGTAGAAAGTAGCTCTAATAGAAACTGTTCACAGTGAGATCTGTGGATTAGCCACAGTAACATGGCCACTACTTCTGGAGAGATACATTCTTGCAGAGTATTAATACAATTTTTCAATGCGGTGAGCATCACAAACTACACAGATATCACAGACAGTGTTTCTAAACTGCACAAAAAAAAATATGTTCAGGACTGGAAATCATTGGTTAAGAGAAACTAGGCCCCTAAGTTGTTTTTTTTTGTTGTTGTTGTTATTAGATGAACAAGCCGTTCACTATATCATGAATCCTTACAATTTTATTTAACAATTTTATTTACTGTTATGCAGTTTAAAGAAGAAGAAGCCTTATTTTATTGTCACTGTAACATTGTGACATGTACAACAAAATTTTGTTTGGAGCCGAGGGGCCCCGGACCACTGCGTGCATACTCGCCGCTATCATGGGCAATTTGGGGTGTTCAGTGTCTTTAACCAGGGCTGCAATTAACAATTATCAGTTAATATGCAAATTGTTTTCTTGATGTATCAATTATTTGCTTATTGCATTAAATGTGAAAAAATGTGAGCATTTGCCATTCACAGTCTACAAGTCCAAGGTGATTCCTTCAATATTCAGTATGTCCATAAATCTTAACAGGCTATTCGATTTATTGCCATATATTACACATTTGCCTTCACATTTGGTGTGTGTAAAAAAGAAAAGCAAAGGAAACAGTTACCTCTAAAATTTGCTAAAGTAGAAAGCGTCTCAAAATTACTCAAATGATGCGTTAATTTAATTTAGTTTAATTTTTATTTCAGTTCGACGTGAAGACAGTAGGTGGCGGCAACGTCTAATGAACAGTGGACAAACTCAATGAGAAGAAGAAGACGAAGAAGAACTAGAACTACTATAACTGTGACGTTACTATCTGCGACGAGACAGTCACACGTGTTGTTTTTATGAACTGTATAGATTCCGACAAAGTGTGATATTTCCGTGTTATTTTTTGGTTAAAAGCCGCAGTGAACTATGGGGAAGAAACTCAAAGTCGGAAAGACTAGAAAAGATAAATTTTACCATCTGGCTAAAGAAACAGGTAGCGTACTACTACAGAAAAGATGAGAATGACGCTTAGCACTGAGGTAGAGGTTAGCATTAACAGGCTTACTAGCTGACTCGCGAACACAATAAAAGTATGCTGCTCAGGATTTTAGAGTGTGCCTTGTCTAATAATGTCTTGTCTTGTCTTTTTCAGGCTATCGTTCTCGTTCTTCCTTTAAGCTCATCCAACTCAACCGTAAATTTCAGTTTCTACAGAAAGCCAGAGCTCTGGTCGACCTGTGTGCTGCTCCGGGTGGATGGTGAGCTGCCTGTCAACAGCTACTCAGATAAAATTTGTCCAGGGCTTAAAGCAGCGCTGCGCAAAGATGATTCCATAGAGGGACAATAGTTTGACTACCTTTGCAAATGGCGAACAGATTATTTTTTATTTATCCTAGAACAGATATTTCTCCTTTACACATCCATGATAAGTGGTGGTTCCTTTGGATCACTTAGACTTTCTGTATTTTCCTATTGTTACAAATGGGTGATATTTTAGTGATAATATGGTAAATGGTACTTGACACAACTTTTAAACTAAAGCCTGATTATGAAATTTTATGTATGTGTATGTCCTGCCTAGAGAAACTAATTAGTGCTCTATATGCTGGAATATGGGTATATATTAATGACACTGATTATTAAAATTTCCTTGCAGGCTGCAGGTAGCATCCAAGTTTATGCCTGTTTCAAGTCTCATTATTGGTGAGTCCACTGTTCTCATTTTGTTTTGGTTCAGCTTTCAAGATCTAATAAAAATCATCACCTACCTTTTTGCTGCATCTACTCTGATCTTTATCTTTTCATGTTTAAATAGCACAGAAGGTACAGTTAAATTACATCACCACCACAATTTCCCGTAGCCCAAGTTGTCATACTCAGATTGCTAGTTTTGTCTGACCAGCCTTCTGGAACACAAATATATTTAGATTAATACCATAGAAGACTAAGTATACCAGCAAAGATTTAGTTTTCAGAAGCTGTAACCAATGAAAGTTTTGCTTGAACAGTTAGATGAATATTAAATAGTTTTCTCTGGATCGATCAGTTAATCAACTAATACTTTCAGTCTCAAATTTGTTTGAAAAACAATTAGTGACAATCATTGACATACAGTGGTGTGAAAAAGTGTGAGCCAGCCGCTGCAGAGTTCACTGAATCACTGAACGAAAACCGACATCAGTGTCTTACTCTATTTCTGATCAAGCCGAGAAAAGGTGGTTTTCGTCCACTAGAGAGCTCCACTGTTTACTTGAGGCCAGATTTTTCTAAAATCACAAACTACAGTATACAACAGTTCTTAATTTGGATTTGTTAAGTGAGACACTGCCGCTCCCGTATGCAGGCTATACGAAAGGAGCTGCAGACTTGGAAGGTTGACGTTGTGTTAAATGATGGAGCCCCAAATGTTGGAGCCAACTGGCAACATGATGCCTTCTCACAAGGTAAGTACATCTAAGTAAAAGTATTAAGAATTGGAAATGAAATTTCTCCTTGTCAGCATTTACAGATAGAGCTGTTAGCCAATATAGGCTACAACACACACACTCTTGGTGTACAGCATTAGTTAATGTGGCTGTTCAATAAGTTCCATGTGTCCATCCACCTGATTGATGGCAATTGAGGCTAACGTACTGAAATCTCCCTTTGTTCCCCTCTACATCCCCAGCTCATCTGACCCTCATGGCTCTGAAGTTGGCCTGTGAGTTTCTGGCCAAAGGTGGCACTTTTGTCACAAAGGTCTTCCGCTCCAAAGACTACCAGTCGCTTCTCTGGATCTTCCAGAAGTTCTTCAAGAAGGTACAGGCCACCAAGCCGCAGGCGTCCAGGAACGAGTCTGCTGAGATCTTTGTCATCTGTCAGGGTCAGTGCCAGCTACAAAGTACTACCTCTGATGTGTAGAGAAACTTTGTTCTTTTTTTTTTCTCAACATTTTCACATGTTCCTAAAGTACAGAGCGCAACCTAAACAGAGTGTTTGTTTTTTTTTTGTTTTTTTTTGTCCTTCCCAGGTTTTGTTGCCCCGGACAAAATCGACAGCAAGTTCTTTGACCCCAAACACGCGTTCAAAGAGGTGGAGGTGCAGGCAAAAACTGTGAGGGAGCTGGTTCCTGTCAAGAAGCCAAAGGCATGTACACTGTATGGGATGATGGGGCACTAGATGAGCTGTGTTTAACAGATGATTCCAAGCACCTGAGTAACTGTTAATTCATAATTGTTGTTGTCTTGATGTGGTATGATAGCTCTCACTCACGAACAGGCTGCTTTCGACAATACTGCATCCATCACTGACCAAGCATTTCTTTCTGCATTCCAGGCAGAGGGTTACACAGACGGTGAACTGATTCTCTTCCACAGTTTCACAATGACAGCTTTTCTGAAAGCTGACAACCCTGTGGACTTCCTGAGCAAAGCCAGTGAGGTGAGATATATCTGTACTAGACTGAGGCTGGAAGTCTGTATTTTACAGGACTGCTCATGGAAAGGCAGAAAATGTGTAAATTGCCACTCTAAGGGATATATCTTGGCACAAGGTCCGCTTTGAAGCTTCCAACTCCATTTGCAGTTGTGCCTCTGTGGAATGAGTTTCTCAGCTGTCATGGAGATGGTGAAGTTGTCTCTTGAAAAATACAACGAGATTGTTGTCAAAATGAATGCTGTGTAAGCTCACTCACTTTATTTAGAGAAGAGAGAAAAATCCAGCTAAGGAAAAGTGTCCCTGTGTTGCCTTTCTCACTTTGCCATCTTCGTTCAGATCATCATCGACAACCCAGACCTGGAGTCTCACTCATCTACCAGCGATGAGATAAAGGAGTGTTGTCGCGACATCAAAGTTTTGGGCCGTAAAGAACTCCGGTAAGCCCTTTATTTCCATCTCACTGATGAGCTTTGTGCATTTAAAAATCACCAAGTAGAGGTTTTTCAGTGCTCTTTTTTTAAGGTAATACGTATAAGGATTAGTGACTCGTGTGTGTGTGTGTGCGCGCACGCGCGCTCTTCTCTCCTTCACATCTGTAGCCTGCTGTTGAACTGGAGGTCCCAGCTGAGAAGATATCTGGCAAAGAAACTGAAGAAGGAGGCAAAACAACTTGACCAGGAGATCAAGTAAACAACTCTTCGCAGCGCAAAAAGCCACTGGAATATTCTGTCTTTGCTAGGATGTGTCACAGAATATCAGAAATTCTCTCTGTTGTCTGAAAAACTTTCATTACATAGAAGTGGAAAAGAAAACAATGTGTTGTGGAAAAAGATGGGGAGAAATGCGGCCACAAAATCACAGAATAAAACACCACGAACCTTAAAGAGACATCTCAAGGCATTCCATAATGAAACTGAGGTAAGTCAAGACATTAACGTAACGTTACTTTCTATTTTGGAAAGCTCATGCCAACTTATGAGGCCAAATACTATAGCTAGTTTTGTCATTCACATAGCAATCACATTGAACTGAATTTGGCATCAACAACATGACTTTGAATACGTTTTTCTAAACCAATACATGCATTTAAACAAATCATATTGGCATTAACATGCCTGTCGAGACTACCGATTAGACTACTGTTTTGATTCTGTAGACTTTTTTCTTTTACGGACAGTTAAGTCGCTCACTCAGAGGTTGATTTACTATGGTAAAAATCATAGCAAGGATTTCTGCTACTTAATATTTACAACAGTTAGATTTTCCAGATGATGCATCTGTCTGGACATTGTTTCTATTCCTGTCCTAGATTCCAGAAATAGCACCAGTGTAGCAAGTCCCACCCAAGAAGATGGACAAGCCAAGTAATGCTCAGGATTTCTTTGCCACAAGGAGGTACAACGAAAACTCCCCAGAGTGATGTACCAAAGAGGAGGGGATAGTGCAGTAGATAGGCCGCACAGGGCTCCCAGCACGAATTGTCGAAGATGAGTTCATCACCATGATAGCAAAAATGGACAAAAAGTTCACCCCAGAGCAACGTACCAAAGAGGAGGGGATAGTGCAGTGGATAGGCTGCACAGGGCTCCCAGCATGAATTGTTGAAGGTGAGGAGTTCATCGCCATGATGGCAAAAATGGACAAAAAGTTCAAAGTGCCAAAAAGACATAAAATTTTAAACTTGATTGACAAAATGTACAAAGAAGAGAAAGAAAAGATCAAACAAAACTTGGCCACAGCATGCAGAATAACTACAGTGTTGGATATTTGGACTAAAAAGGGACAGCATCCTTCCTGGGAGTCGGTGCCTATTACTTCAACACTGAGGACAACACGGGTATTCCCCTTTGGCCAACAGGTCCTGGCTGATGTTTGTAAGGGGGACATGCAGGCAGCAGACACGCTATTAGATGAAGATGACGACCTTCACCTGTCTGAGGAAGAGGATGACGAGGCAGATAAAATGTCCCTGGCCTCTGATTTAGATGAAGAGGACTTAGAAGAGGTGGAGCAGAAGCAGAAAGAGCTGGAGAAAAAGACGCAGAAGAAGAAGTAAGTAGCCGTTGAAACATGAACCATCCTAGTCTGAATGGCCAACAACACAATGGGCTGCTTCGGTGTGGATGTCATATCTCTGACACGGCTGGCGATTGTTGGGTCATCATGTGTGTTCAGATGTGATTTAGGAGATGTTATGATCAAACTTGCCTGTTTTCATCTGTAAATAATGTGCTCCAACGTCAGGATCTGAATGGCCAACAACACAATGGTCGCCACCAAGCCTTTCGGATTTGGTGGCACCGTCGCCACCAAGCCTTTCGGATTTGGTGGCACCACCACTGTCACTGTAGTGCCTGGTCCAGAAGGAACCCCCAATCTGAAGACTGTGGTGAAGAAATTTAGGAAGTCTGTTGCCACAGAATGGCTGCTGCAGAAGTGTGCTCTGGTTCTGGTAAAAGACTGACCTAAATTTGGTTGCAAAATGCGACTGATCATTCGCAGTCTGGAGCCCTGAACTGTATTAAAGTCAGCCCTTCAATTTTGATGTAAAGATGTCAGCCAGCTAAGCTGTCTCCAGTGAGTCGAGCTGGTTGAAACGGGCCGGTATTAGAAATTATGCTCCTGCCATGTTTTTGAAATGATGTCACAGGAAAAAAACGACAAGGCTCACACCCCCAGTCATTAATTGTTCTCTGATTTAGTTTTGTGTGACCTGCTTATGTTTTGTGTATGTGTTTTCCAGAGTACAGTTTGTTGAGGAAGAGGAGGAGGATGATGAAGGGCAGGAGAGTGGGTTGTTGGTGGAACTGGAAGGAAAGGATGAGAAGAAAGAGCGAGAACCTTCTTCTGCCATTTGCAGAGCACACTAAGTCACTTGAAAATGACACTCAAATCACCTTCCCTTGTTGTGCCAGCACGCCTGGATCTCAAAAACCACCTTACGGAGTTCTCACTTGCACTTGGGCGAACCTACAAAGATGCAGCTATTCTGGCTCAGAAGATGCTGTCTAGCATGGATAGGTAGTGATGGGTAAAGGAGTCTTTGTTGAAGCTTCACACAGTGTTCACAAAAATGGTTCATTACTTGAGGCCTCAATGACACAGTGCTCGAATAGGACATCTAATGGTCAAGAAGGTGAAGTGCAATCAAGAAGTGTCACTTATTGGTTCATGGATTGCTTGGGATTTGATTCGCCATGCACATTCCTGTTCGACTACACTACATGGTTGCATGGTTTCAAGCTGATGCAATAAAATATGAAATAAACATGGACTCATGTTGAAGACCATGTGTCTTATTTGGCATGTCTGAGTGTAACCCTATATGCTCCTCACTTATATTTTATGTTATGAAACATTTAAATGGTGCTACTACATTCATGAGATGTGGTCTACAAATTCAGACGCCATTTTCGCATGGAACTGGTGCAAATATAGATTATATTATGGGGTTTGGCGTAAATAGGTTCATGGGTACGTGGGCAAAGAGGGTGTGCTTGTGTAACTTATCTAGATATATCTAGCTAGATAATCTATTCTCTCTCTCTATATATATATATGTGTGTATATATTTGATTTATATATGTAATAGATCTATATCTAACGTTATTTAGGACTATTCATTCATTTTCTACCGCTTAGTCCCTGAACGGGGTCGGGGGGCGGAGCCAATCCCGGCCGGCAATCGGACGCAGGCGGGGGACAACCTGGACAGGGCCCCACTGCATCAAAA